GAGTTGGCCAAGTAAAGGCCCAACTCTGGGGGGTATCACATTGTTTGTATCAGAGCCGATCTGTGACACCTCACAGTCGTTGACCTGACTGTTGAGGGGTGTAGCAGTTGATGATTCTTGGGGTGCAATATGGATGTTACATTCTAAAGTGGAAAAGAATGTGATACCCCCAGAGTTGGTCTTGCGCTAGGCCAACTCCCGTGGATGAGCTGGTGCCAGGCCATCCAAGATTGAATAGTAATTAAATTGATTGAATAGACTACTCATGTCAACAATATGCATATTTCTTTTCAGGAGGCCTACTGAAAGAACTCTAGAGTTAAGCGTGCTTACTTTAGATTAATTTGAGAATGGGTGACCCCTTGGAAAGTCTCCCAGAGTGGGCATGAGTGAGGACAAACGTACGCTGGAAGGACTGGCGTTGACGTGTTGAATCAGTCTGCAATCCTGACATGCCCGACTTTGCGTGGCTTGCGGATCAGAGTGTCATAGTTGGTATCATAGCCGACCTGCGATAACCCGCATCGTTGAAAGGACTGTTGACGGGCTTAGCAGTTTGACAATCCTTGGGGTGCAACGTCGACGTTGCATTCTAAAGTGAGGAGGATATGATACCTCTGGAGTTGGGCCATTGCTTTGCCAACTCCCGTGAGTAGATGAGAGACCATCCAAAGTTGAACAGATGTTAAATTGATTGAATAGACTACTTATGTCAACAATGTGCACATTTCTTGTTGGAAGCCCTACTGAAAGAACTCTAGAGTTAAGTATGCTTGCTCTAGAGTAACTGACGATGGGTGACCCCCTCGGAAGTTTTCCAAAGTGTGGGTGAGTGAGGACAGAAGCACGCTAAAAGGATCCGTGTTGACCTGTGGGGCCAGTATGCAATCATAATATGCCCGACTTTTCGTAGCTTGCTAGTCGGGGTGTCACAAGGATATTCATAACTTTGGTGCACCCTGGAACAATCATAAAACTGACCTTCCGCAACAGCTCCTTGCTTCCCAGTGTATTGGATAGCGCCATAACAGCTCCCCCTGATCCCCACATCGTTCCAAGAGGGATCGAGGCAAAGGAATGTGCTGGAACCCTTTTCGGCCTTGCCCCCCGAGCATCAGAGGTGCCTTATCCAGCCATCGGATTTCCTTGGAGGCTCGAAATGGGAATGTAGTACTGGAAGTGGTTCTAGTAAATAAATGATTTAGCTACCACTATGGAACTGATGGGACTAGCTCAAAGGTAATTCTAAATCTTTAAGTTGGAGGCAGCCCAAAGGATGTCTGCCCAGCAGGCGCACTTGATTCTCCGAGCTTCTGGGCGTTGAACGGAGATCCTCTAGATCCGGTACCCCTACAGAAAAGAGTAACATGACCATATTTGAGTGCCTGAGAGGTCGGATCTGCTGTGGAGCTGGCTGTAAGGCTCACGGAAGGCCAGGTCCCCAACGCAACGTAAATCTATCCGGATGGTAGGCTTCAGAACCTCGGTAATGTATCCGGAAAGTACCATAGCAGATCTGTTCTGGCCTTCCAACCGCCGCGGAAGCCTCATCTCGTGGAGCAGCTTCCGACGCAGGTCGAGAGGACGAATTGCCGAAGATCTTCTTCTTTTTTGACATCTCCATAGTTGTCGGCGGTGTCAACTTCCTCTTCCGGAGTTGCATGCAAAATCGCGAGATGTCGTAAAAAAAATCACCAGCATGGCTTTCGAAAAAATCTGTTGGAATTAGTTAATTCAAAGGGTTCCCCGGCCTCCTAGAAAAAGATCCGTGCTATCTCGTGATATTCAAATATTTTACGAATTAATAAGGTAAAAATAATACTGATGATGTAAAGGGAAGACTGAAAATAAAGCTAATAAAACAAATAAGAAACTGAAAATTGGAAAAGCTATAATAAAAGAAGCTGTAAAAATTTGGAAAAAAATACAGTGTTCTTGAAGGAAAAAAATATAAAAAAAAATTAAAGAAAAATTATTTAGGAAAAGAGAGGAAGAAGATGATAAAATCGTGTGTTCTTGAAAGAAATTACAGGAAACAAATTGTAGAAAATTATTATGAAGAAGAAGATGAAAAAAATGCGTCTAGAATCTGTCTGATCTTCCATACACGAGTCATTCTAGCGCATTTCTGTCATCACTCATGTGCACCTACAAGATTTCCCAGGAGGTCATAAATCCTCAAATCATTTCAGGGCAAGTACGTTTAACTTTATAGTTCTTTCCATAAGGCTCTCGAAAAGGAATGAGTACAATAATAATATGACTAGTATATTAAATCTATTTAACCTCTAATCAACCTCGGATGGCCTGACACCGGCTCATCCAAGGAGTTGACCTAGCACCGGCCCAACTTCGGGATATTATAATTTCACTCTTCTTTCAACCATCTTTTACAGGGCACTTCCACCTCTACTGGGCTGCCTTCACATCGAATTGGATCTTGACAATGGGACCAAATAGGTCGGCAAGTCCGTTCGCTAACCTAGGCCGGCTAGAGGCAACCAAATTTTGGGACGTGGGTATCTCTGGGCCTAAAGTTATCCACTTTAAACTGCGCTCGTACTAGGTCGACCCAATTTATTGTTTGAATGTGTCCAAAAAAATATAAAATATAATGTTTTAGATATATCTAGCAAAAAGAAAAAAAAAAACATACATTCATGAAACCTACAAACCCTTATAAATTACTCCTAAAATAGATAAAAATAAAAAACAGTTTAAATAAATGTGTATATCACTCGCATCAATTTACAATAGTAATGCGGAGACGTAGAAAGGTATTCAAGTAAATTTTTTAAATTTCTTGCAAATATGATTAAAATATTAAATCTATATTAATATATAAGTATATTTAATATAAAATTGATTGCAGACTTTCCTCATGACTGAATCTTCAAAATATTGATTCAAAATTATAACATTATTAATATATAATCATAAAATTTATTCGTAATTGTGAAATTGAGAAATGCACTGAAATAAAATATACATATCAAAATTTTCATGTCTATTCGTAAAATTAAAGTTAATTTCTACAAATTATATAGAAAAAATATATATCAAATTTTAAAATAATATAGAATTTTTAGAAAAATATAAAACATATAAAAGTAAATATAGAAATAACATATAATTAAAATAAATTTTTTGTAAAATTATTTATGTATAAATGAAAGTATAATGTAGAAATTAAAGTATAATTTATCAAAATTATTTGATTTTTTTTTTCTATTACACTCAACTATCAGGTTTAAACTTTTTTAATAATTTTAAATTTAAGATCTTCCATTAATGATTTATATTTATATTTTTTATATATTTTTTATTTTGTGTTTGTGAATACTATTATATTCTATTTATTACTTATATTTTTATACAATTATAAAATTTCTTAAAAGTATTTATAGACATGATTATTTATATCTTTTACTTTTTATATTAATAGTTAAAAAGTTATTTTATTTACCAATTAAGATTAAATTGCATAATTTTTCAAAATATTATTTAATAAATCAAATATATGTACGGAAAGTTATAAGTTTAATATTAAAAGTTAGTACTAACTTTATAAATTCTGTAATATTTTTATTAATATTTTTAAAATATATTTTATTCTAAAAAATTATAAAAAAATTAGGGCAATACGGATAATTGCGTATAAAAGTATGAAAATCGCAAAAATCACGCATGTCTAAGTATTGAAAACATAAATTTCAATTTATTTTTTTGAAATTTATATTAGTCATATATTATTTATTTTAATATTAAAAATTTTCAAATTAAATGTCATAAAATTTAATTTAATTATCATATAAGTTTTTTTGAAAATATATTTAAATATTTCAAATAAATCATCATATTTTTTCTAATTATAGAAGATACTTGTAAATATAAAATATCAAAGAATTTTACTACAAAATTTATAAAATTATATAATTGTGTTTGTTTACTAAGAAAAATTATAAAATTATAAGATTATGTTGGTTAGAAACATATATTATACATATTCCAAAAAAAATTATTTTCTATAACCAGAGCGTGCTATATAGCCTTAAATTATAAACAATTCTTGAAATTTAGAAAACAATTATTTTGTCTAATACTTAACACATAAAATATGATATTTTGTATAAACTACCGAAATAATTTTTTATATTTTACACGAGAAAAATATCTAAAATAAAAAAATTAAACTATTTGTTTTTTTGTTAGAGTACATATTAATCATATTGTTTTCTTATTTGTATTTGTATGTTAATTTATGACACTTATATTTATAATTTGTTATTTAAAACAAAAATGAAAAAATAAATTAGATACAAAAATATTTTTAATTTAGAAATATAGAAAACAATTATATTATTCAATATATTAAGATACTCCCCTTCTTATTTCAAATTTCATTGTTAGTATTTTCTTTTATTCCACTAAAAAGTATTATTTTTTTAATATATAGTAAAAATATTTTATATACAAATCTCAAAATACTTTTTTTTTTTTTAATTTTTTATATTTATACTAATTAATAAAATACTATTATTTTTATTTCATTATAAAAAAATAATCCATTTGAAATGAAAGAGAGAGCCACTACCAGAAATATGGCAATTGGCTTCAGAAAATTAGTTCGGATTTTGATCTAGATCCGAAGTTAATTTTTTTAAACCTTGAAATTTGGCTTGGAATCATTCCCGAAGACTAAAGCTCGTTCCCATTTTTGTGGTCTCGGAAATTCTGAAGTTTTTTGAAATGGCTTAGTTTCGAAATTTTCAAGACCAAATCCAAATTTACAGTCAACAGCGCCTGGGCTAGATTTATGTTTTTGGCTTCAAATTTCCGAAGCAATTATTAAAATTATTTTTTAAAAAAATAAATGTATAATCTTCTTCACCCGGGCCGTCTGCCAAATAGTAAAATGCATTGTTGCTATCACCGCCCCGCCTCTGCTGCCCCCGCCCCCGCCTGAGAAGAAGGAATTGTCGCCGCCATCAGAGAAGAAGATGAGGAAGAAGAAGAAGGAGGAGCTGCCAAAGGAGAAGGAGAAAACGAAGAATGAAATGCTGCTGCCACCGCTGCTGCAGCCGGAGAAGAAGAAGGACCAGGTCTGTTGCCGCGGCCGGAGACGAAGGAGGAGATGATGCCGTCGCCATCGCTGTCAGAGGAAAATTAAAGAAGAGGACAAGAAGACGCCGCTGCTCCCAGAGAAGGAGGAGGAGGAGAAAAGGTGCTGCACCGATGCTGGAGACTTTGCTGCCGCTGCTGCACCGCCGATGTTGCCAGAGAACAAAGAAGAGGACAAGAAGACACCATTACCGTTAGAGAAAGAGGGGGAGGAGGAGAAAAGCTGCCATGCCGCTGCCGCACTGCCGACGTTGTTGTTGCCGTCGCTGTCGAAGGAGAAGAAAAAGGAAGGAAAGAGGAGGAGGAAGAAGGAAGGAAGGAAGGAAGTAGGAAGAAAGGAGGAAGAAGGAATGAAGGAGGAGGAGGAAGGAAGAACGGGAGGGGGAAGGGTTCCGGCCGCTGGGGGGTGATATTTAGGGTTTTAGTTTTCAAAATTTTTAAAAAGTTTTAATTAATTTTATTTATTCATTTATTTTTAAAATTAAGAGGGGAGTTGAAATGGAGAAATATGAATTATTTTAGAGCTTCAGAAATTCGGAAGCCTTTTCTATGTAATATAATAATATATATAATTTTGTTTCCAAAATTCCGAAGCCTTTTTTATATAATAAAATAATATATTATTTGGCTTCAGAAATTCTGATATAATTTAATATAATAAAATATATATTTAATATGATTCGGAAATTCCGAAGTTATTTTATTTTGTTGTGAATTTATTTCCGAATCTTTAGATTTATCGAACAAATTTGGGAGAATCATATCCAACTTCCAAGAACGAAAATCAAAACCAAATTCAACGACAACGACGACTATTTCCGTAGCAGACGACGATGGCGGCCACCAGCAGCGAACACCGGCGGATGGCGGCACTAGGTCGACCATGGCTCTCTTCTTCTCCAGGTGGACTGCGTCTCCGCCCATCTTTTCCGGTCGTCCGACAACAACTCCAGGAACCGATCGAACCGACGAACATCGATCTTCTCTCACCCGATCTTTCCTCCAATCATCACACCGGCGAAGGGACGGCGGTTTTCAGCTCAACCCCATGGTGAGTGATTGCCAATGGTAACCACGCCTCAAGGTGGAGGTCGACATATTCGCTTTAAGCCTCGACACCCACCGGAATCGGCCAGAAGGGGCTCTTCACTCGTCGAAAAACCACTCGGAACTCACCGGAATCCGCTCGGCCTCTTTCCCTCTCAATCTCAATCTCACCCACTCTCTCTCTAACTCTCGATCTCACAAAATATCAATTCACCCCAAAACCCACTCTCGATTATAACAAAACCAACCACCTAACAAACTAACCAACTCACTTACTAATTGGGTTAGGGTAAAATGAGTTTGGGCTTAAGGATTAAAAGGGGTTGGGCCGATACGGTAAGCTGGGCTACAGAGTGGGCCAACTAATTTTTATTTCCGAGGTACTTGTCGAGTTAAGCCTCGAACGGCCAAAATTTCCAACATACTCCACCTATTTTGACTGTGGTTTAACCAAATCCCAAAATACGTATTTACTAGATATAGACTTACCTAGCACCAATGAATTTTATCCTCCCATTTTGTCTCTCACTACATCCACGAACAAGCGTTACTGCAGATAAAAAATATCACACAAAAACACATAGATCCTAACATGCACTTAGATAGATCACATAACAACCTAGCACATAGAACACACAAAAACTACACAATCACATACATGCATATACACAAAAGAAAGCAAACATATGTCGAATTCAAAAACAAAGAATCACATTATATGAGCTCCACCTTATTTGACATCTACTAGAGAACACTTAGCACTAGACACAAACAAAACCTTAGGCAATATGGTTCTAGCACACACCTCTACGGGCTAAGCTCAACCTAAGAACCTGGATCGATCGACCACTACCACTAAGATCTCCGGAGACATAACCACTCAGGTGTATTAACAATATAAATGTCTCAAGGTCACGTTTCAGATCAGATGCAAAGGGATATTGTTGAGGCCCTTCGACTTGTTAGAGCCCGAGAGGGTCAGGGTGAACACCGTGATGACGCACCAACTTATCCAGATGATGACTCAGGTATTTATGGAGAAATTTAGATATGATCATTTTTTATTTATTTTTCTATTAAGGTCGTAAGTATGTGCTATATTGTAGGCTCATATATTTTTATTTAATTTTTTCCACCAAAATCCTAACTTTGTGTTATATATATTGTATGCTCCTATGCTTTTATTTAATTTTTTCCACCAAAATTGTAAATGTGTGTTACATATATTGTAGGCTCACCATCACGGGTACCTAATTCAGTTTCTATGGATGCAGAAGCTTCTAGTAAGTATTGAATGTCATAAATATAATTTAGTAATGCATATTGATATTACTTATTTATATCTTTATTGTAGGTTCCGCTCCACCTCCAACTTCATCCACTACTGTAGCACTGCTTTCGATCATTGTTCAGGATGATGGCAGGTTTGGAATTATTCAAATTGAATGATATTTTTCTTTTTTAAAACATTAATTCTTATAATTTTAATATCATTAATGTTTCAGCCTATTTTGGCCACGAAGTGTTACTAGTAAATTTCGTAAAGTGTTTCGATCTATCGTGGATAAGGACGGAATCACGTGGAGGAAAGTTCCATCAATCACAAAAGAATGGTATTGGAAAGAATTTAAGGTATGTAGGTATAATTTTTAAATATAATGTGGTTGTACTTTATTACACAGGGATATTAAAGTATTTGCGTCTAACATCAAATATAGAAATATACTGTTTGGGACTCTTCAATGGAGGGTCAAGTCAAGGAGGATTTCAATTCCAAAGCTGTCAATGTATATGGTCAGTGGATACATGATATTAGATCTGAACGGGGGAGAAAGCCGGAGGAGCAAATTGATGTGACAATACTGGCCGAGTGGCGAAGAATTTGGTCATCTGATGCTGTAAAACAAAAATCCGATACAACAAAAAAGAATAGGCTTCGTGGGAATATGACTGGTCGTGCTGAGTCGACGCACACTGGTGGCTCGCGATCTTTTACGGAGTCAGCGTGGAAGCTGGTATTTCTTTGTTTAGTTATTAACATTGATTAATTTTTTTTAGATTCAATTATTAATTTTTTTTATCATTTGCAAATACTCAGGGAATGAATAAGGTTGGAACCTATAAATGGGCTCATTCTAAAGAACACAATTGCGTCACATTCATTAATGCAAAAGCAACTAAAGTAGCTGTGAGTTGATTTCTATTATCGTTTTCATAATTCATTCTAAATAAATATATTTTATTGTTTAAATTTTGTTGGGGAATGAATTATTTATATTGTTAGATAAGCTCATTTTGTATTTTTTGTTGCCATGCATTCTTTATTATTAAGTTGCAGATGAATTTTAGTGGGATTCTTATCATAGCTTAAAATTTTTATTTGGTGTTATTATTGTGTTGGTTGGCATAGGTTTATTATTCATCTTTAGGTTGGTTGGTGGGTAAAATTGGTGTTATTATTATATTTATGATTCATTCTAAATAAAAATATTTTATTGTTTAAATTTTGTTGGGGAATGGATTATTTATATTGTTAGATAAGCTCATTTTGTATTTTTTGTTGCCATGCATTCTTTATTATTAAGTTGCAGATGAATTTTAGTGGGATTCTTATCATAGCTTAAATTTTTTATTTGGTGTTATTATTGTGTTGGTTGGCTTTAGTTTATTATTCATCTTTAGGTTGGTTGGTGGGTTAAATTGGTGTTATTGTTATGTTTATGATTCATTCTAAATAAAAATATTTTATTGTTTAAATTTTGTTGGGGAATGTATTAATTATATTGTTAGACAATCTCATTTTGTATTTTCTGTTGTCATGCATTCTTTATTATTAAGTTGCAGATAAATTTTAGTGGGATTTAACTTAAATTTTTAGTTAAATTGGACATATATTTTATGTTAACTTTTCTTTGATATTGTAAATTAAGTTAAAAGTAACTGTTTATTGATCTTAATAAACTTCAAGAGCAGGAATTTTGTTTTGTATTGTTTGATTGAGCTCATGATTAAAGGATTAACATAAGGCACTAAAAATTATAGACCTATTGAAATATTGACTTTAATTGGATTTGGTTGCTTCATTCCGGGCATTTATTGGGGCATGTAAATTTTAGTGTTGAAGTCATATGCATTGCCACTATATTGTTGTTGTTGTTGTTGTTGGTTGTTGTTATTATTATTATTATTATTATTATTATTATTATTATTATTATTATTATTATTCATTTGTATCAAATATATTTATGATTTTGTTTGGAAAACTAACATTGTATTCATTTAAATTATTTTCAGGATGAGGTGGACGCTGTTGAAGCACACCTAACTCAACAAGGAAATACGTCATATGATCCGGATAATGTGTTCCTCACCGTAGTACCCCGTGACAAGAAAAATCGCATTTATGGGTTGGGTTCATTAGGTGCGACTGTTCCTCCTCGACCATCATCCTTCTGCAGCGATGGTCGTACTCCGGGCACATTTATTCTTGAGGAACGATTGACAAAGATGGAGTGTGAGTTGGGTGAGTTGAGGACAGATCTTGCCGTGGGACGTAGTCAATGGGAAGTGATGCAACAACGTGCCACAAATATGGAGAACCAACAACGAGCCATATACGATTTGAACTTGACCATTATGGAGCAATTATGACGTATGGGAGCACCATCCATTCATAGGTCCGAACCCGATTCAGATGGTGGTAGTGCTCCGATATCATGATATTTTATCATTACAAGGTTTTAGTTACGACCTTAGTTGTTTTGGTATGATATTATGGTAACTTGAATTAGATTTATACATTTTTCTTATATGTGCTACTTGCGGTACTCATACTAAATACATTGTGTTTTTGGTATATTGATAGTGTTTAAATTTGAAAATTTTATATGATTTCAACTAGTTCTTGTATCTTTGAGAAGATATATTAATCGAATCATTAAATTTATTAAATTTGAAAATTTGAATTAATATTTGAGATAGATATTGAAAAACAAAATTGACAAGAAATGAGCAAAAGAAATTGTAAAAATTGCGACGGAATTAGCAATAGTTATATTCTCTCGTAATTTGCTATAATTTGCTATTCTATTTGCAACGGATCTTGCAACATATATATTCTTTTTTAAAATGCGTTGCAAAAACTTGCAACAGAATTAGCAATAGTTATATTCTCTCGCAATTTGCATTGCAAAAACTTGCAACAGAATTAGCCACTGTAGTAAAATTACGTAACAAAAAATTGCGATAGAAATGACTGTCACTAATTCTATTGCAATTCTCTGCAACGGAAAATTTTAATTGTTACATTGGGTTACTACCATAATATTTACTACAACTTCCACTTGGTCGCAAATTCCGTTGTAATTAAAAGTTGCGACAAAAATTTTGTCAGTTGTGACGGAATTTTTCCGTAGTAATTTGTAATTTTTTTGTAGTGGGGGTAGTAAGTTTTGAACTTAGCTATGGATTTTTATTTAAATACCATGATATATTTTTAAAACTTGTATTTTTTCAGATACGTTTTCAGGGGTGAAGACAATTGTAAGTGTTGTTGTTTGTATGATGATGCCTATTGTATAACTAGTCATTTTACTAGTGAAAATTGACCAAATTAAAATTGAAAGTGTGTAGATGAAAGCTTATTTATACATTCTATCATATTAGATATATGGAAGCATATTTTTCTCAAAATATGTGAAACATTTTCTAATTACCCATGATCAAATTATGCATAGCTCCCAAAAGGTAATCAATATTTTAGAATCCTACATTCCTTGATGATGTGCTGCCATTACTGTTGCTTATGCTAAATATTTGTTCATTGTAATATGCAGCGAAGACAACGAAGAACTCTGATGCAATAGTAAGTGTTAGTAAAAAGGTCAACTCGACTCTCACTTTTTTGAACTTGACCAGTCCCAATTATGGTGTTGAAGGTATAAGAATTTTATGATTAATGCTTCTGAAATTTTATTTTGTTTATATCAAACTTGTTTAACTAGGAACTAATATGTAGGGAATGAGCCAGATTCAATGGGAAACACATCAAATGTTCAAAATGAGAATGAAAACTGTGAAACTGAACTTGGTGTCATCATAGACTTGCCATGTGCAGAAATGGGTGGCTCTGAATCTGGGGCAAAGGGGAAAAGGCGACATACTTCCAACAGCAAGGAAATCCCACATCGACTTGTTAAGAAACTCGTCGACCCTTAGTTGGCTATAAATACGGTAGGTGTTGTCAAACTTAAGCATACAAAATCAAGAGAACTTTCATGGGCTGTATGTTCATTTGTTAAATTGTAAAGGTACTTCTCTTTCTTAATTATCTACTTTTTTTTGTATTTTCTTTCTTTCTTTCATTATTTCTTAAAGTTCCCGTAGGGTGTGTGAGATCATATGGGTGGAAAAATCGAGAAGCAGTCCAAAGGGTTCTCAACTCATTGCTTCCGCGCCCAGATGGAACCCTAATTAGGGACTTTCTCCATTACTGTTATGCTTCCAATCTTGATTTTGTGCACGCGGTGAGTGGTCGCGAACCCCAATCGCTGTTTCTCCTTTTCGTTCTTATCCAACTTTGGCAAATTCGACTGAAGAACTAATTTAATATAATTACATTGTTTCCTTGTTTAGATCCATGTTAGAATCTTATGGCTTTAATGTGTACATTGGTAATAATATTCAACTATCATGGATGACCTATGTGCATGCTTTGTGCAATATTGATGGCATTGAACTTTGCAAACTCTATTATGAACATCGTGATTAAATTTTTTGTAGTATAATAAGAGCTTTGTAAAGCTATCTCACATCACACCGCTTACATATGAATATTTTAACTCACAAAAAAAGCGAGCACAAGTATAAATGACCAATTTGTTCTTTGGGATTCCATATATGGAATTAGACACTGTACTAAATTAAAAGGTAGGTCCGGGCAAGAGAACTTTTATATAAAAAAATTATTTGATGCATAAAATTTTTTATAAAGATATGACTTGGTGGTGTGCGATTGATTTATAATTATGAGGTTATGAATTCAAATTTTGTGCATTAAAAAGGAAAAACTAGACAAACTTAATATTAATGTTATTATTGATATTTTTGCATCTAAAAGTACTAGAAAAAAATATTTTGTATCTAATAATATATTTTATTATACGTAGGAAAAATATCATTTATATATATCTAGCCCTTTACGTTTATTATGCTAGAAATTTTGTTTTTATTCAATTATTTATATTTAACTAAAGTAAAAAAAAAAATTATTTATATATATATTTTAGGTCTTCTAATTTTGTTTTGCCTCGGCCTTTGGAAAGTTAGGACCGACTCTACGTAAATTAAAAGATAAACATAAATATTGCTCATGTACTCAAAATCACGCAGAAGCAAATCTGTCATGTGCTTTTCATGCCCACATAACGAAGAAATGTAATCAATATTAATGTCATTACCAATAATTATATATATGTTCTTGTTTCATCATGATGTTTGGCAACTTCCTTTGCAAGTTTGGAATGTTGGAACTTACCACGAATTAAATTATAAGCCTAAGATCTCTCGTGTTGAAATAAGAAATTAAATCTAACAAATATAACATGATTTGACATGGCCCGGCCGCGTATAATTATGACCATATATAATTTTCTTACCCACAAAGTTTAATAGAACAAATGAATTAAGAATAAGAATAAAAGAAAAGAGAAGGAAGAAGGAAAGATAGTGCAGAGAATGTGAATTAGTATAGTGATAACCAACCATGAGAATAAGTCTCGGACCTGAAATCAATCTAGAGGTAAAATACAAACAATAGGCATAATCCCACTGCAAAGGATTGGAAGCCATGAACCGATGGAATCACTCCAAAGACCCGATTTGAGATTCTAAATGCGAGGAAATCACTCCCTAACACTAGAAAATATAAAAGTGAAATTCGATTCAAGATGCAAAAAAGGTTCCCATTACAATGATAGGCAAGGACCTTATATAGAGGTCCTTGAGAAAAATAAAAGATAACAAATAATAAATGAAACAAACCAAAAGGTAAGTCTAACTATAAGGAAATAAATAATTATGGAAGTTTTAGATATGGAATTATAATATATGGAAACTTATAATAAAAGGAAATATATATTAAGGTACTTCTAGAAGCCTCCATAATAAGTGATGATTCCCTTGATAATCTTCCATGATTAGCGATTCTCTTCATAAGTGATAATTCCCTTGATATACTTCCATGATTAGCGATTATCTCGATAAGTGATGATTCCCTTGATAATCTTCCATGATTAGTGATTCTCTCTATAAGTGATGATTCCCTTGATAATTTTTCATGATTAGCGATTCTCATGATCTTTCAATTGGGATCTTGCGGGTTCCATTGAAGGAGCATCAGGTGAGGGCTAAGTGGTCTCCAAGCTCCATCCTTAAATTGATTCTCTATGAAAAATCGTATGATCAATGCAGTGACGGATTTTTGAAACTGACGAGCTCGGCTTTGAGTGATGGGTCCCACAAGCATTTGAATGCTTGAAGATTGGACGTCCTCGTCATTCCCTCCTTCTCGAAAAGCTTTCTTGTTTTCCCGAACAAGATATTCATCCGTTGCATCAAAAAGGCTTAAGTAAGAAACATTAAAAGTAGCATGAACTTGGTACTCACTTGGGAGTTCAAGTTTGTAGGCATTATCATTAATACGTTCCAACATTCGAAAAGGCCCATCGCCACGGGGAGTTAGTTTTGACTTTCGCAATTCTGGAAATCTCTCATTCCTTAAGTGTAGCCAAACCCAATCTCCTATCTCGAATACAACTTTCTTGCGCCCACGGTTAGCTTGTTTTGCGTAATTGTTAGCTGTCTTTCGTAGATTATCCCGAACTTGAGAATGAAGTTGTTGGACAAATTCAGCCCTTTTTTCTGCCATCAAAACTAACCTGCTCATTGCGTGGCAATGGCATAAGATCAAGAGGAGTTAATGGGTTAAAACCGTAAACAACCTCAAATGGAGAACAATTCGTAGAGCTATGAATCGTACGGTTATATGCAAATTCAACATGAGCTAAACATTTTTCCCAACTCTTCAAATTCTCATTAACTAAGGCATGTAATAAGCTACCCACAGTTCGATTAACAACTTCTGTATGACCATCAGTTTGTGGGTGGTGTGATGTGGAAAACATTAATTTTGTACCTATTTTAGCCCAAAGTGTTTTCTAATAATAACTTAAAAATCGAAAATACCTATCAGAAACAATGGATCTTAGAACACCATGCAATCTAAGAACCTCTTTGAAAAATAATGAAGCAACATGCGAAGCATCAGTGGTTTTTTAGGCATGGAATATAATGTGCCATTTTTTAAAATCAATCAACCACAACAAATATTGAATCTTTACCAGACCTACTCCTAGGCAAACCTAATACGAAATCCATAGAAATATCAACCCAAGGGGATTCAGGAATAAGTAGTGGAGTATACAAACCGTGTGGATAAACAATAGACTTCGACGAGAGGCACGTTGTACACCGACGAATTGCGGCTTCAACTTCGGCTTTCATTCGTGGCCAAAAAAATGTTCCTGCAGCAAGTTAAGTGTCTTGTTCCTACCAAAGTGTCCCATCAAACCCCCCGAATGACTTTCCTAAAT